GAATTGTAATTGTATGTCGTTTGAAAAGCATTTCTTTGTATATATGCCCATTTTTGTGGGGGGGGAGACAACTAAGAAATACACAACCACGAGGTGCGTTTTTTTTTTTTTTTTTTTTTTTTTTTTTTTTTTTTTTTACGTTTTTATGACAGCAAAATAATGAAGAAACGTATTTTTTAGATATATTTACACTAATTATTTCAAAATTGATAGTTTTATCATACAGCACAAATAAATTAAGGAAAAAATATCTAATATAAAGAAGATAATATGTGGAACCATGTTAATAATCAAAAACATGAATTACTGAAATATTTCAATGATTGCTTGAAAAAAACACTCTTATTTTAATAATTAATTAAACATTTTAATTAAACATTTTAATATTTTTCATAGATTCGAAAACAAGAGCTGACAATGTAATATCATTTTAAAACATGACTGTATCTTTGATATCTTTTGACAAAAGCTCTGGACTAGCTGAATCACCTGATGATATTGCACATCAATTGTTTAGCATGAAAAATATATTTGGGAGAAAATGAGCAATAGAAGGAACACAAATTAAAGAGTTTTTTAACCTTTCATTCACAAAAAGATGACTTAACTATAGGAGCCTTAGTATTGGTACCAGATACATTAAATAAAAATTAAATTTCACAATATAGATAACATAGAGCTACAATATCTTTTTTTCACAAATAAGGTCGCTTGTTATTCCTAGCATCATTGTAGTCATAACTGTAAATACTGATGGGAGGATTCAAAATACTGCGTTGTTTAACATGAAAATTCTTAGCAAGGTGATTAAAATAAGTTCTTATTTGAAAATTTTTTAATTCCTCGAGGAGTTTACCATTTCGCACATGCCGCGGGGCATTCATGATTTGAATTACGGTACAATTCTGTGCAGTTCGCAGTTTTTCCCTGCTGGTCTTACATGAATAAGCTCAAACCGGACAAGCATAACACAGCATGGGACAAAAGATTTTTTCCCCGATGGCGGACACCTATTTATAACGGTATTGGCCACTCGTCTGCTCAGCCGGGGCTGCCCAGGGCTGCGGCCTGGTAGCTAGTGGTTGACACTCGCCGAGTTGGTAACCAATTCTGCATGGATATATCTATACCTGGGTCGGAAGCCAACTCAGCGGCTTACCTCCCCTAACCACTATACCATCTGGGCACCCGTATTCAAGATATATTTATAAATAATTTATTATAAAGAGGTAGAACTATGTTCCGTGCGATTAGGGGGAAGAGGTGAGCTTTGCGTGCACGACACTTTTGAACAATAGGTGTAATTTGTGGGTCCATATAAGTGTTTTAGTGAGGACCATCCCAAGGTAGGAGACTTTCCTAGACCAGGGCAGAGTTGATGCATAAAATAGCAGTTTGTCAGTGATGTGTTTTTCTCTTTGTTAATAATATCACAACGGTCTTATCAACATTGACTTCGATTTTCCACGTTATCAGCTAGGTCTCTAGTGTCTTAATGTGAAACTGTAACAGTTGAATTACAGGCTAATAGATGCGCTTTGTGCAAGGATCGCTGTGTCATCAGCTAACATTGCTAGTTTAGTATTGGGTGTGCTAGGAATGCCGTTCACATAAATGGGAAAATTGTGGGTTCGAAAAGTGACCCTTGTGGGACGCCAGATGAGATACCACGGTGTGTGGAATGAGTGTTAATGAGGCGAACGACAAAGTCTGTACCTGTAAGGTAGGATTTAATTGTTTGTGTAATGTGATCTGAAAAATCCAGATTGTGTACCTTGTAAATGAGTGCGTCTAGTTAGAAACAATCGAAAGTCTTAGCTGTGTCTATGAAAAGTCCACCAGTAACGAGTTTTGATTTGTAAGCTCTCAGCGATGTGTTCAATACCGCTGTAGAGTTGCTGCGTGGTAGATAGTTTGCTCCTAAATCCAAACTTGTGTGGTGTGATGATCTTATTTACCTCCAGGTGATCCTGAATTCTTCTCAGGATAATTGCTTCAAACAGTTTAGTCTGGCAGGGCAGCTGACTGATAGGCCTGCACTGTACAAGGCCACATCCGAGGCAGGCTTTCCAGGTTTTAGAATAGGCGTAATAGATGCCGTTTTATAGTCATTGGAGAAATAACGACAGTTAAGTCATGTGTTTTGGTCAATAACGAGGGTCAGCGAATTGAAGACTATCTTGATGTTGAAGACTAACTTGGATCATCAGGAAGGAAGATTCGGGAAGAGTTTAACCATCTTGTTGAGTTTAATCATCTTTTCATCGTCACCAGGACTTGATCCAAGCCCAGACTCTTTTTAGTCTTAAGTTTTTTAAATAACCAAGAACTTCTGAGGGTAGAACTGGAATGTTGTTAGTGAGTGGATTTGTAGTGTAAATGTTGTAAAATCAAAAACAGTGTGTTTAGTTGTTGTATCACGTATGTTGTTTGTGCAAAACTGAGATTCCTACTTCGTTCTATTTGCTTTGCTATTCATTTATGTTGTCTCATTTTTGCGCGTTTTGGGCAAAAAGACTTAAAGGTTGCAAAAGAAGGCTACTCTGTCTATGAGAAATTCAGTTCTGTTACCTGGCAACAGACCAAGGAGGTTAGAATAGAAGGAGGGAGGGTTCGCAGTTTCCTCCACTATCGGGGAATGAAACTCCGCCGAACCGACAAGCGGCGTCCATGTTTGTGACTTCAAAACATTGCATTACGGCAGTGATATGTACGTGTTTCTAAACTGTTCTGTGCATTTATTTTCCAGTAAAAATATGTTAAATTTATAATGAAATCCCTCGCTAGTGTTGAATTTTTTGTATGATACGGATATGCTTAGGTTAGAAAATAAATCTTAATAAAATAAAACAGATTTATGTGAATTCATTGATTTCAGTTTATGCGCATTTCATATTTATTAATCTCAAAGAAACTGCCTTTAATAAAGTTGAATTACAGAAATACACCTATATAAGTTTTTGGATACATCTTTCCACATGTTCAATGGTGTAAATATTTTACTTAATTTTATCACTATACTGCCCAGAAATTTGTAAGTTTATGCAAAAAAGTTTTAACAACAGAACAGTTTATCTTAAAAAAAATGAATAATATAATATATAAAGAAAAGCATTGCTTTATTTAACACCTTTACAATTAATAAAAAGTAACAATTGATTTCTTACTTTTCATGAAAGTTATAAAACGAATTAACTAAAACGTTCAAATTAAAAATTTAAATCCTACCATATAGCATTGTATCTTAAGGAACGAAGATACCAGCTATAAACAGAAACATTAAAATGTATTTAATATTTTGATTATAGTTATATTAAATAACCTATTTTGATTATTTAAGTCCTTTTTTTTTTCACATCTGGAAAGAAAACCACATGACATTGTGATATTTTTTGACATAGTTGTCATATTACATAAAAAAAGAAAATTAATACTTACGTGTGAAAAATAATGCCCGGAATTTTTTTCGAGAATCTATTTGTGCATCCATATGCAATACAAGCTGACATGCTTCAAAAAGAAAAGAAAAAAATGTTGCAATGACAGACTTCCTTGCACAAGTCACGGTGATAACAGGAAGATGGCCGCCAAGCTTCACCGTTTAAGTTGAACCTTCCCTCCTTCTATTCTAACCTCCTTGAGACAGACAGACAAAGTAGACAGATGTCTTGTTTTGCATCCGCTAAGTCTTTCTGCACCGATGAGCGAAAAATCAAGCATAGGTGCGAAGGAAAGATACATAGAAAGGGGGCAATTTCGTATTTGAGGAGAGTAAAAAGGAACTTCGTACATTTTGTACGAGTTCAAAAGGCCAGAAAGAAAAGATGGGACAAAATAAAATTTAAAATAAATGGCCCAAAAATAATAGGGTAAAAAAGGGCCTATAGAAAGAAAAGGAAAAGAAGTAGAAAATATCCTAAATATGATTGTGTCCATCAGTGTAGTTAAAACGAGCTCATTTGCAAAAATTAGTGTCTTTAAGAAGCAAACTTTAGCTAAGTTAAAAAAATAAATAAATAAATGAATTCCTACATGGTAATGTGTATGCCCTTATCTTGTGACCTAACTAGAAAAGACATATATCATCACAGAGATGTACATAATATTTTAACTAAAGTTATATTAACTATTACGGTTCCCAAAAAATTCATGTATTAAGACACAATAACACGCCGAATAAATACTAATTCATGTATATTTCAGAAAAACAGTAATTGACAAAATCATAAATCCATACACAGTGTGAGAGCATTTCAGCAAAAATAAATTATACAGTTTATTCTTAAATATTAGTTAAATATAAAATTAATTTATTAATTTAACCGTTGTAGTTTATTATAGTACAAGTTTAACAAATTCGGCCACACTGTATTTATATATGCTCATAATTCTAAGTTTGATACCTGGAAAAAAAAGTCGGGGATTTTAGTTACAAAAATCACAATCTATACTCATCGATTGTCAAGAGATCCCCATTTTTCCCTCTCAAGAAATTCCTAAGCACGAAAAGGGGGGCCTCCGAGGGATGTGAATTGCTGATAAGAACGGACTACTGATAAGGAATGTGGCTTCTCTACGGAATAGTTACGAAGAAAAAAACCACATGACTTGCTACTATTATTAACTATTGTATAATGCTAGAATCTTATGAAAATAATAAATAAAGAAATTTAATGGCACTTTAGTGATAGAGAATAAGATATTGTATAGAGAACAGAATGTTACTTATCTGAATATTCCGTGTCAGGGTTTCTTTGGGATTTCTCGTGTTGATAGTGAACAGCGAACAAGAAATTTGAAGTTTCGAAGAAGCGAAGTTTCGTTTTTAAATTTGATGAATGAGACATTGCATAGGAAAGGCACATTAAACTTTTTTTTTGAAAACATTTACTGAAACACTTACTTAAAAATTTCGGAGCTATGTTTAGACACTGCCTCCAGTTTTCGTGATCGCAGCGCCTGTTCCTCACCGTTACCTGGCAACATCACGACGCATTTTATTTGGTTTCATTCGGTTTCGAATGTAAAGCGCTGAAATACAGTTGGTGATGGAAAGTTGAAGTCTTTAAAAGTCGCTGTTTTATGAAAATAATTTATTAGTAAATTTCTGTGCTGAGTGCAGAATGCTAAACTTAATTATTCTGACTGTGCTTCCATTCATGCGTGTTTGTTATGGGTACGCTAATGAAAATGGGTTTTGTGATGCTCACAAACAGAACTGTGATATTACAAGTAATTTATACGCGTTGATTTTTTTAATTGTCATCAGAGGCGGATTTATAAGGTCGCGATCGAGAGGGCCTCTGGTTCCAAGGGGCTCCAAATCACTAATTGATCATTAAAAATAGTAATTATACCTTGTGTCTTAAGATAGGGAACCCAACTTCGTAAATTCGCCGCTGATTGCATTGTAGTCAATACATCTTAATGCTCATTGTTTAAAAAAAAATTAATGTTTCATTCTGAATTGTGATGTTTTCCTCCACTAGATAATCCTGCTCTTAAATGGAAGAAAATAAATGCTGTTATAAACAGAACGCTCACTAACTATGAAGAATGTTCATCAGATTCGTGTGCTTGTTTTTTAAGGTAACTTTTCGGTTTGTAACAATAATCATAAAATTGCATTTCAAGAAAATTCTTGCACCCTTATTTTGGAGGTTGAGATGTGCCATTAAATAAGACTTTTAATTAGTAAATATACTTGTTGAAGTAAGAGGTTAACTGGGTACAAGCTGTGTGAATGGGTATATTTAATAAATTAAAATAATAATGCAAGAGTATATGTTCGGAAATCTAAATAAATTTCAAATCTTATTATCAGTTTCAACAACTTTTAACAATTGTTATATCTCTTATATAAAGACAAATAAATAATAATCATAGGAATGACACTAATATCTGCAGTCTGCATAAAATTTTTGAGACATTCTTTTTTATTTTATATCTGCATTACTGACATTTGAATTCTTTTAAAAAAGGAAAATTATTGCCTTTTCGATCTCATATAGATTTTTCAATTTATTGGGTACAGTTTCAAAAGTAAAAAACATTCTTTTATCCCTCTGTTGAAACTCTAATTGAATTTAACATTTCAATAATATTCATTTCTTTTTGCTACATGCATTTTCTCATAAAGCCATTGACGTCCACCATTCAAGTGTAGTCACTGACTCAACTGCCTCATTTTCGAAAAAGTATTCTGCTGAAAGTAGAGTTCATATTATAAATTTCGATGTAATGCTGAGCACACTGTCCATTTTTCCTCTTAGTCCATTGTGCTTTTGGCTATGTAGTAAGGCTTCAGCTTTTATTTTGGTGTTAAAATATGTGCTAAAAAGTGTATTGATGACAGTAATTATTCAAATAATTCTTTAAATAATTGGGTGCATGTTTCATCAAGAATTTTTAAGCTGTTTTTAAGACCTTTTCATACTTTGTCAGCTTCAGCAATGCTGCATTTGTTCTTTTAGATTTTACTCGGTACTTTTCCATTTTGCCGGCGCAAACGATAAAATCGCCAATAATGGTACAACTGATGCCAACGCAATATCTTTGCTGGTAACCTTTTACGCTTCATTTTCAAAACAAGTCACAGCCATTTCTTATCAGATTGATTGTTTCTTTCAATACTGGCATACAATTACATAGAATTTTTACAAGATAGTTAAATTTTATGCCTTAAGACCATTCGCGGTCATTAAGTCAATTAGGATGCATTCACATTGCCCACCGGAAGGCGAAAATGTAGAAAGGCAAAATCAAGGGTTAAATTCATCAATTCTAATGAGAATGCACTAGCGAAGTAAAACACTGTGGTTTTACATAATTTCTGAGTAAACTATTTGTATGAATTGAAATAATTCTTACATTTAAACTATTATTCCAAATTAAGATTTAAAATTAATGTAGATAATTAGAGAGAATTAGATTTTTGTAGCGTAGTTTACGTGAGATGAGATCACTTGGGAACTGGCAAATCAGGATGTTGAACCATGAAAGCACAGTAAATTCTTAAATTAATGTCTTTTTACAAATTCATTGTCTTCATTTATTGGCTTTTTACAAAATTTTAAACCATATTAAAATCAAGCCATATCAAAATAAAAAATTCTTAGAACTAACATTTGTTAACATTTTTTATGTGTACACTGTATGCTGTCGCCAACAAAGTCTGCTTGCCGAGATTTGCACTGGCGAAACAGAAAAGTACCTTTTATTCAAAGGAAGTAAGAAATCTGCATTTTATTTGACTCGCATGTTAAGAACTTTTGACTGAATATTCTTGTCTATTTCATCTCAGTTCTGAATCTCAGTTAGCATGAAAATTGGCTCAGTTTTTTTATAAAGCTTTCAAGAAAATTACATATTGACTTCCAATATATTTAAACTGTTTCCAGTGGATTTATTAAATTTGGCTTGGACAAGCTGATGATTTCAAAAATATTGTATGACTAAAATAACATGTTTGTAATAGTTGATATATATAAATCTTTAGCCAATAAATTAAGTTTTGGGGTTGAACAACCACGAGAGATAAGCTAAAAACTGTTTTCTGATTCTTTTCTCGGCTGATCTTTGAAATATGGTAACTGGTAGTTTGGCGACATTTTGGAGGCGATAAAGGTTACTACCTAGGACTTTGGTAATAATGTGAGAAATACTTAGTTCCGATTACGCATTATTTTGTGTGAGGGAAATGAGAGATCAAGAGATATGTCATGTGACATTAATGGACGAATTACAGTTCTTTAATTGGAAAAGGGGGGGAATTTGGAAAACTGTAGTACTATATTATTTTGTATTAAGCTTCATTGTGTTTGTGTGAAATAGTGGAAGTGTGCATGCCACGTAATGAAGATTCTGAGGACTAGGTAAGTTAGTATTTTTAATCATTTGAGGATATTATTTTTATGCATTGTTCTAAATGTAAGGAGTAAATAAATTAATATGATATTATTGGAAAATTGTTATTAGCAATGATTTAGTTTAAAGTAATTAGGATTGTAATCTAATTTTTATTAATTTAATGTATGTGCTTATTTATATTTTAAGTAGTGTTTTTTAATTTAATTATATTTTAATTTAATGATCGTGATTTTGTGAGTTATATGTTTGAGTAGAATACGTTGAGTATTTTCATGCATTTTCTTGAAATTTTTCTAATTTATGAGAAAAAAAGCAGTGTACATGGAACATGGCTATAGTGAAGAGTGTGTGCAGTGCCATTTTTGTGCGATTCTGGGATGTTTTTTTAAGTAAAAATAAGTCGACGTGTACATGGTTTAGTGATATTTTGATTAAATGATAGTTATTTTGTGAATTTTGTGTTTGTAGGAATTTGGTATACGTTTCAGTTGAAGTAAACGTGCATGGAAGTAATTTAAATATTTGACACTAAGTATTTGTAACCATTTGTAATGTTTGCGGTATTAATTCATTGGTGACGTTTATAATATAATATATAGATAATTTAGAGGTAAAAGTTTTTTGGATATTTTATTTATTTTATACGTGGAAATGTTCATCCTTGGAAAGGGTATATACTTTTTCGCGATCAGGTAATTTCATATATGTGCTTTTTACCGAGTTTAAAGATTCACAGAATTTTTTTTTGCATTTTCGTGCAAATTTTTGTAATTTTGATGAGAAAATAGCAGTGTAGATGGATAAAGTTAAGAATGTGTGCAATGCCATTTTTGTGCAATTCTGGGATGTATTTTTAAGTAAAAATAAGTCGACGTGTAAATGGTTTTATGTGTATGTGCTATTCTGAAAAACGCGCAAGGAGTTTGCGATTGTGCACTTTTTCCCAATTTTTGCAGTTAATATTGTCATGATAATAAGCAGTTTTGTTACATAAAATTTCTAGCATAAGTGTAATTCGGCTAGTAGATTGTTGGAAAAAGTGTTCAGTAAATAAAAGGAAAAGAAACATGTCTTTACTTCATGAAGACAAAATGGCGGCGAAAAAAAAAAAATAGAGGGTTGCTGTAGCAGAGTTGGTCGGCAAAAAATCGCCAAGTTACCATAATCCAAAGATCAACCCTTTTCTCATTTTTACCATATTTTCTGTACTATCGGTTACAAGATTACTGACTTGGTACGTATAGAATTGGTTTCACTGTTTTTAATGACTGTGACAGCAAGCTTAAGCAAATTTTCATTTGTATGTAGAATTAACGATCTATCAATAATTAACAATAAATGTAAAATCCAATCTGTTGTACAAATACTCATGCAGATTGTTGGCTAATTATAGGCATTATACCAGCAGGTACTGTTTGATTAACTAAAACATACTGCATTTCACTGTTTGTTATATATGTTATTTAATAATTTACCCCTTTTAGATGGAAGCAGCTTTTATCCAAGATATAGCATCTCTGTTAACTTTATGAAATGAGGGTTTTCTATACAGAATGATGACAACATATACTGTATAGTTGTGTATATTCAGCAGACCACACATTTACTTTCCTAAGCAAAACTTCTTTTCTCCTCCATAAAAGGTCAAGGCAACATCCCCTGAAGTATGCTCAAGAGCTCGGGGCATAATTTGTGGTATTACTGAAGTAGAGAGTCTTCTGTCGTCACTGTAGATAGACAGGCCTTCTTAAAAATGCATTCAGGAAATCTAAATTTAAATTGATAAAAATTGCCCTTCTCTTTCCCTGCCCCCAAATCTGATTGCTGAAAAAACTAACATTTTTATATTCATCTGAGAAATTTTATTTGTTGGATATTTTTATTAAAAATTACTGAATGTCTTTAAAAAATTATGGTTAGGCAGAATGACTACGGAGCACCAGTTAATGAAAGAAATGTTATCTTTCTCATGTAAATCAAAATTGGGAAGCAAGATGTGTTAGACAGATATCAAACTATAATCAAAGATTTATTAGACGGAAATCAGAATATAATCAAAGACCAAAAATGCATGCAAAATTTGGCTAATCTTTATTATACGGTATCCCTCCTTGGTTTTTTCCTGAAAAAATCGCCAAGGCGTATTGGTTGTTTTCCAAATCTGGAAGCCCACCGCTCGAAGTAGATTTTTCGGGGACCCTAATGTTAGTAATGTTAGCGAAACTACTGGTTACCATGATAGTTTTAACATTATTTTAGTTTTCTGATTTTGGTAAAAATATATTTACAGGTGCCCCTTGGAGAAAATTGGCAATTTTTGGCGGTGCATGGATACTGAGTTTGTATTATTCTTTGACGTGTTATTTTGGCTTTGCGTACCGGCAGTTTTTGCGCCAAAATTCGTCACTACACAAAGACAAAATAACAAGTCAAAGAATTGCACAAACTTAATATACATGTGCACATCAACCTATTTTCACTTTAAAAAAAACGAAGACGGAGAATTGCACAAACCCTTGACTTTATCTATGTACACATTGACTTATTTTCACTTCAAAAAAAACATCAGAGAATTGCACAAACTTGGCATTGCACATTCCCTTGCCTACTTGCTCAACTTTTTTGTTTAAATTTCAAGTATTACAAATGCAAAGGTTGTGTGTATATGGATGAATTTTAATGCCTAGCCTAATCAATTATTTTTCAACTGTGTATTCCAT